CCCCAAAACCCCAAAACCCCAAAACCCCAAAACCCCTGTCCAAAATCTCATATTTGAACTAAATATTATAAGTCCAACTCTCATTAGTTATCACAGCAAAATATTACTCTGGAATGTCTCCTCTGGCAAGCATCATCATGAAACTAAGTTTGGTGCTACGATCCTCATCATCTCCAATCTTATGGCCTATCTTTCTCTTGATTTCACTCTGGTTCACTAGACATATAATAGCAGGATTACTTCTCATCATTTCCTTAAGCATCTTATTTTTCCTTCCTCTTAGCTCCTCCTCTTCCTTCAGAGCCTTAACCTGGTACTGCTGGATCTGCTTGTCTGTGAATTCCTCGATCATTTTGTCCTTATCCCTTTCACTGTTTGCTAAGTTATTTTTCCCTAGAGTTAGGATATAGTACTATACCTCTTCCCAAACTGTTGTATAAGGACTGTATCGCAGAATGTTTGTTCTCGATCTTATTAAATATGTTCTTATATCTCTGCTCCATTTTGGTTAAGTGAGCTATATTACTCTCTAATGCGAACTTCTCCTCTGCCATCTTCGTCCGATCGCTAGAGTGTAACTCAACAGAAATACCTAAGCGCTCTCTGGTGACGATTAGAGAGCTGTTGAGCAAGGATTTCATCCGCATTTTGTTTGTTGACTTCTTTATTTTTCTTTGAGTCTCTTTTTATCCAACTTGTTTAGAAGTTTGACTTGTTCATTCATCTTCTTAGCAACATAGTTTTTCATCGTTGAAACGTTGATATCACCTATTTTAATTCAGATTTAGGCCTCACTTCTGCCGAATGATAATCCTGGATCTACTGAGCTTGAAGTGGACACTAGATATTAAGTTCTGTCACAAAAATTTAAGCGTACATGGATTTCTCTTAGGCTTGGTCTTCTTGATGTTATTCCCGCTTTTAAGTAACCTATCATACATTGTTCCTTTAGGAGTCTTCAAGCTCCCTTGGCCAGATAAGAAGGGTAATTTAGTATCTAAAGAGCCTATTTGAAGGTTCTTATGGTTTTGGATTTCTCCAGCATCCATTGATAAGTTCTGTATCCTTCTCAGCCGACCATATCTGTTCTTCCTAAACTTCGTTACAACATTTGAGTATTAAGCTCTAAGAGCCTCAAGAATACAAGAAGAAGAGAAAATCTACTTTGGTAGGTACCAACCCCACAATTTTAGAGTTCTAAAAAGCAGATAAATCTTCTTTAAAAACAAAGACAAAGCTGCCTAGATTAAAAATATGCATTTTTCTAATTTCTTATAAGTTTATAGTTTTGCAATATTCTCAAAAATGCAAGGAAATTTGCTAAAATTTATTCAATAATAAGATCCCATAAGAATGCTTATCGAAATGGACTTTTATTATGTAATTCTTTTATGGGCTCAAACTCTACCCCCCATTTATCAAACAAACTCAATTAACAAACCATTTGTGACTTACTTATCTCTTGAAGACATATTTAAACCATGTTTAATTTTCTGAGGTGTCTTCATAAACTTCGGAGAACGCAGATCCTTATTAACAAAATGCTCAATACTAGCACTATTCCCCTTAGTAATGTTCGGTAACTGTCCATACTTCATATTCTCAATCGGAAAATGGTTCAAATCTGGACCTAAACCTCTCTAATGACTCATCTTACTCATATGTTTCCTTTCTCTCTTCACTCTATCCCTCTCCTTCACACTTTTCTTCTATTCCATAACTCCCAAAACCTACCTTAGCATTCCCTTTACTTTTCAAAGTCTCAGCTATAGCTACTGCTTTCTTCACAAATTCTTCCTTATATTCTTCCTTATCCATCTCTTCAAATGTGGCTTCCGGTTTTCTATGAAACAAAGTAAAGACACTATTCTGTGCGGAGGTGGGGATTACATACTGAGAATTTGGCTTGAGTAGTTTTGTGATAGCGGCGTTGACGTATTTTTCGTTGGAGGAATTTTGGGAAGGAGAATTGGAGCAGAGGTGGGAGAGGATGGAGGATTTGAGCTGTTTTAGGTCCTGAGCGAAGTTGTGGTTACTGATTGATTTTTGCTTTGGAGGGCTAAAGTTGTGGGTGAGGGGTTGGGGATTTGGAGGGGTAAGGAAGGGAGAAAGGGGAGGAGGAGGGATTACCTGTTCATTTAGGATTTATTTATGCAGAAATTATAATTTTTATTTAGAGCTGATTGAAAGGGGTTTTGGGGTTTTGGGGTTTTGGGGTTTTGGGG